GCTTGTGGCTCCGGCCAGTGAGGCTCAGTTGGTTGAGCATCATCCCATGTACCCAATGGTTGCCAGTTCCCTTTCTGGTCAGGGCACATGCTGAGGTTGTCGATTCAGTCCCTAGTAGGGCCGTGCAGGATCTAGCTGGTCAATGTTTGATGAAATAATGGCAGACTTCTCTAACCAGGTGGAGGAAAAAGTCACATAAGTTCAGAAGGCACATAGAACCCCAAGTAGAAGAACCCAAACAGGCCTGTGCCCTGACATATCATAATTAAAATGCTAAAAATGGAAAACCATGAGAGAATCTTAAAGGCAGTGAGAGGAAAGCAAACTGTTACCTACAAAGGAGTTCCCATAAGGCTGACACCTGACTTCTCATCAGAAAATCTATAGGCCAGAAGGGAATAGCATGAAGTACTCAAGGTAATGGAAAGCAAGGATCTGAAACCAAGATCACTATAACCAGCAAGGCTATCATTCAAAATAGATGGTCAAATGAAGAGCTTCCCAGTCCAAAAAACACACCAAAATGCCCAAAGGAGCACATCACCACCAAACCAGCATTACAAGAAATGCGATAGGCACTGCTGTAATGAGAAGGAGAAACAGAGAGAGAAACCTACACATAAAATGGCAACAAATAAGTACCTATCAATAACCCTAAATGTAAATGGATTAAATGGTCCAATCAAAAGGCATAGGATAACTGAATGGATACAAAAATATGAGCCAACCTCAGAACAAAAGACATACACAGGATGAGAGTGAAGGAATGGAAAAAAATGTTTTCCATGCAAATGGAAAGGGTAAAAAAAAAAGGAGTAGCAATACTCATATCCGAAAAAATATAGTTAAAAATGAAGGCCATCACAAAAGACAACAAAGATCACTACACAATACTAAAGCGATGGATCCAACAAGAGGATAGAACCCTGTTAAACATATACACACCCAATACAGGAGCACCTAAATATATTTAAAAAACTGCTAGAGGACTTTAACGGAGAGATTGACAACAATGCAGTCATAGCCGGGGACTTTAACACCCTGCTGACTTCACTGGATGGATCTTCCAGACAAAAACGTGACAAGGAAACAGTGACTCTAAAGGACACACCGGATCAGATGGATGTAACTGACATTTATAGAACATTTCACCCCAAAGCTGCGGAATATACATTCTTTTCAAATGCACATGGATCATTCACAAAGATAGACCACATGATAGGACACAAATCAAGTCTCTACAAGATCAAGAAGTTGGAAATCATATCAAGCATCTCCTCTGATAATTGTGGAATGAAATTAAAAATCAACTACAGTAGAAACACCTAAAAATATTCAAACACATAAAGGCTAAAGAGCATGTTATTAAACAATGAATGGGTTATCAATGAGATTAAGAAATAAATAAAAAAACTTCCTGGAAACAAATGAAAATGAACACAAAACAACCCAAAATCTCAG